TTACGTGATTATGAGAATTTGATTCTTTAGCTTGTTAATATGATTCATGACATCCATTGGTATTTCATGTTGAACTGTGCGTGGATACATGGGATAAATCCCACTTAGTCATGGTGTGTCTTTTTATACCTGGCTGAATTCAGTTTGCTCATATTTTGTTGAGGGACTCTGCATGAGAAACCTTAGTATTTAGTTCTGATTTTGATATTAGAATGATACTTCTCTGGAAGAATTTAAGTTATGATGTATTCCCTCTGCCTCTGTCTTAAGAAAAAGACTAGAAAATTGGTATAATTGCTTCCTTAAATATTTGACAGACTTCATCAGTCAACTCATCTGGCCCCACCCCTTTCTGTGTTAGCTTAATAGTCATTGTTTCAATTTCCTTAATAGATTTATACCTGCGCTGATTGTCTATTTCTTCTCATATGAGTCTTCACAGATTTTGTCTTTTGAAGAAATTCATCGTTATCAAAGTTACTCTAAAGATTAAGTTCAAGGTATACATTTTTATCTTTTTCAATGTTTATGTTGTAATCCATTCCTCTGTGGCTTCTGATGTTAATAATTTCTACCCTCTCTCTTTTTCTCTTAACTAGAACTTAACAATTCTAGCTTTAGAACTTAAAAATTTTTTAGATACTTCAAAAAACTGACTTTTGATTTCCAATGATTTTCTCTGTTGATGTACTCTTTTAACTTCATTAATTTCTGATGTAACTTTTAAACTAATCAATAAAAGTGCTTATTAAGTAGAACAGCCTGTTACATGACAGCAGTTGTAGGAACTGAAGTTTCATTGTCAAGACACAAAAATACAGTTTTACAGTAGTAAAAGTATAGTTTTAAGGTAGTTTTTCCTGAGTCCACTGTGCCCAAACCTCTGTGAAAGAAACTCTGTTGAGAACTCTTCAATCATTGAATTCACTTTGGTGATCTATTAATGTTCAAAATCTGTTCAGAACTCCTAGCAGTGCTTAATTATGAACATTATTGCTTTGGTGTAGTTCATCATTCATTCATTCATTAATTTTTGAGTGCTTCATGAGACCTAGAATTTAAATTGGAAAACAACCAAAAGCCAAGTCATTAAATAAGGTTTGTGTCTAATTAGCCAACACAATTTTTTAACCTGACTTTTTCTGATGTAGCTGTTAAATTCTTTAAGGCAGTTCCAAAAGTTGTTATCAAAAAGCAAGCTGCTCAAAAAATCATGCACTATGCCCATATCTTGTAATCTGCGCAACTACCTTGAAGATAACAATATGCAATATAGTAACTATTGTTTACCTATCAGCTTGTTTTGAAATCCTGTATCATTTCTACTGTTTTTTTTATTTCTTTTAATCTCTTTAAAATAAAGAATAAGTCATGTATTAGTTGCATCATAGCTGTTTTCACTTAATCTGATAAGTCATAACATACTTGTTTTATTGAATCATTTAATTTCATATGCTTAATGCTAAAATTGATCTTTTCCTTCTCCAAGAGCTGAAGCTCAAATTTAGAAAGTTTCCCTTGAGTTTATAGCATAGGAACAGTATGTTTTCTATCCTTATGTTATTTTCTCTCTCTCTCTCTCTCTCTCTCTCTCTCTCTCTCTCTCTGTGTGTGTGTGTGTGTGTGTGTGTGTGTGTGTGTGTGTGTACAGACACGTGTGCACACACTGTCACACACAAGCATCTTTTATATCAGGCTCTTTTCTATTGCCTGGATTTTGAATATGGAAATCACACGCCTTCTTTAAAGTGAGAATTTATCAAACCATAAAAACAAATACCATGTTCAAACTGACTTCCTTTCCAGCTGTTCTTCTACGGTGTTCTGAGCCCATCTGAAAAAAATCACTTCTCAGTGATGCACATAGGAACAAGCCCCCTTCACCGAATCCTGTTTTGCCAAGCGTGAGCTTTAGATTATAACTGAAAATAGGGGAAAATTCCCTGCCCCTGGCATTACTCCAGACATCTGAAACGTTAGTACGTTGTGCTTTTCTGCTGAAAAATTACACAATCACCAGCACACAGAGCTGCTCACTTACACAACTGCTACTTTAGAGAGAGATTGTAAAGAAACAGCTCTCTGTAATAAAATATGTGTGTTTGGGTGGTTGCAAGGGGAGAAGAGGGAGAACTTGAAAGAAATTATTCAGTCTAGTCACGCTGCATCTTAGACATAAGAGAGAGGACATTTAGAACACTGATCAGATCCTTTCATTTAGAACACCTAAGCCCTGAGTTAAACACTGTTCATCCACAAGGCTTTTAAAATCATATTTCATGTTCTCTGGATTGAATCCCTGTGAACTAATGCTTGGCACCCCAGGAACAGAACAAAGTAAGATCTTGATCTTGACCTGAAAATCAGGATCTGTGAGTCAAATGCTTAGAGATGGCTGCCTCGCCTCTGTCTTGAGGCTGAAGCATCTTTTACCCTGAACATAATGTCAGAACCTATTAGGTCTTGATAAATATTAAAAAATCATCAAAATGGATTCCTCTCACCCATTAATCCATTTGTATCTCTTCTGAACCCTGTGCCTCCTGAAAGATACACTACCCCATCCCTGTTTCCCGTGGGAAAAGGGACATCTCTGACATTGCCACTGACTCAAACATTAAGAAGTGAATACAGAAATGTACCAGCTTTAGCTTCAAATGAAGGAGAGAGTGTCACTGACTTGGGGTATGCAAACTAGATCAACCTTCCACTTCATTCATTCATTCATTCATCCATTCAGTGAGTCCATCAGCAAACATTTTTGAGCACCAAATGTCTCAAGAATCTGAAGGAGCCCTGGGGACTAAGAACTCATGCACTCCTCCTCGGGGGCGCCTTTTCATTCTCTTTCTAGTTCTCCCTGACATTCAAGGAGCTTCAGAGAACACTGCAGCCTCACCAAGAAACCTAATGCAAAGCAGAAGTTAGTCGTTCATTCCAACAGAAACAGAGTAAGCTTGCAGCAGGTACAAGCAAGCGCCTCTCTAGCGAGGCTGAGGAACCTGCTTCCCAGTTCCTTAGAAGATCCCTCGGGAAAACTACACCTCAGTTCTTGCATCCATAAATGGAGGGTTTGGGATAAACTATACTCAAGACTCCTCTGGAGAGTTAAGTTCCTTTCCTAAGATCCTAAAGAGGCTTCCCATGGCCAGTACGAGGAACCCTAAAGAGAAATCTCGTGTGGCACATTCATCCCACAAACGCCCCTCGGCTTCCTGCTCCGGACTGTGTGTTTCAGATTCTCTGGTGACCCCAGGCATGCGAGGGATCAGATCTAGCAAGTTCCCTTTACTTGTGGACAGGATGCTCTCCGTGCACAACTCGGCACGGTAAGGCATCCTGGTCCACTCCTTTACAAGCCTGGACAAGGAGAGAAACCCCTTACATAACAAGAACTCTCCTTTGCATTAGGAGCAAAGGTTGTGAATTAGGAGCAAGAAAGGTCATTGTCACCCCCCCCCATGGGAAAAGCTCAGAACAACTAAGGGGAGACATTTGTGTTTTGATGTTAAGAGAGCAAAAAGCTGATTCCTCCGGGCATTCCCACTTGGCACCCCATCCCACCCTAAAGCTCTGCTTTTTGGTTCCAGCTACCAAGCTGCTCCAACGAGAGAATTAGGGGGGTGAGCAGTGCCGCTCCTGGGTCACACGGAGCGCAATGTCCACCCCTGGCGGGTGACACCAGCGGGCCTGGGGTACCCCAGTCCCCCATCCCTGAACTTGCAAACTGCGCAGGAGACCACTGCCCTCTAGCGACTAATGTGGGAGATGCAGAGCAGCGCGAGCCTCGAAGGAGCCGCCGGGAAAGGGCACCGCGGGTTGGAATGGTGACCGGGCCCTTGCCAAGGACGCCTGGGGCCGGCCACGAAAGCCCTGCCGTTTGCTTTGGCTGTGAATAACTCTTGGGGCCGTCTGTAGATTCCACTAAGCCAGGGAGATGGATACACATAAGCGAATAGATAAAAAAAAATAAATGCAGCATACATATATGGACAGACAGACCTAAAGGAGGTAGAAGACTGATGATTATAACCTTTCTTGAGGGCTTGCTACAGGCCAGGCACGGGTCTAGGGGATTTCGTCCGCTATTGCATTTGCGTCTCTTCTGAACGCCCGCGCCCCCGGAAAGCCGCTCTCCCCTCTCAGCTTTCCAACAGACCAAAGCAGGCCTCCTTGGCCACCCTTCTGCGCAGCCAAGAAGCGGGGAGCGAGCTCAGGTGCAGACCACAGTCCCGCCGCCTGCTCTCCGCTCCCTCTGTGGAACAAACGCGGGTCCCAAGCCCTGGGAACTCGGACCCAGGACTCTCGGCTCTCTGTGGCCCCCACACTCCGGGCGCGGGCAGCGAACTCGCCTGCGCCCCTCTTGCTCCTCTATCGGGAAGCTCCGGGCAGCACGCGGGAGACCAGGTCCCCGACTCCCCGGGTCCTTCCCGCGGTGCCTGGACGGTGTCGCGCTCCCAGGACCTGGGGTTTTATTTGCTTGTCTGGCGGGGAGTGGGGGGGGGGGTCACACTAACTGGAAAGAATAAGGTTCCCAGAAAGTTTTCATGGCTGGTTTCTGTAACCATTGCCCGAGCGATCCAGGGTCTGCTGCTGGCCGCCGCCGCAGGCAACTCTGAGTCAACGGCCAAGCACTGTGAGTAAGTGACACCCGGGACGGCGGTGCTTGGGATGGAAACGTCTCAGCGCACCCCGGAAACCTCCCGCATCCCCTACCCGGGCCGTCCCTTCCGGCCCAGGCTGCAGTTCTAAACTCCCCACTTGGGTTCGGTCTCCGGGGTGCAATTTCAGTGCCTTTACTAGGGGTGCGCGGGAGGGGGGAGTCACCCGCGGCTGGGCCACAGCGGGTCGTGCAGGATCCGGGACTGACCCCCGCCCCCAGGCGTCGGCGCGGCTGGCGTAGGGCCTGCGTCAGCTGCAGCCCGCGGGCGATTGGGGCGCACGCGCCTCCTCAGTGCGGGGCTAATTATAAAGTGGCTCCAGCCGGCGCTGGCTCGGGGACGGCGAGGCGGGCGCCCAGAGCCGAGCAGCGCAGCCTGCGGCACCAGCGCGACCCCGCGGACCGCGACGCCGCCCTCCCACACTCACCTCCTTCTCTCCCCTCCAGAGTCGCCGCGTCTGGGACCCAGCCGTTCCGGCCAGACTGCTGCATCCTCCAGCGGCGACCGAGTGAGTTTTGTCTGAGCTCCCTCTGGCTGAGCGGGTTTGGGGACATCCGCCCGCTCTCCTTGCATAGGTCCCCCTACTTTCTCCTGGTTACTCTTTGTAACCCACGTCGGGGGAGGGTGGTACCTCCCCAAGTGCCAATTCTTTGGCCCTTGCTCTCAGGGGTTCACAACAACATTGTCCTAGCCAAGGACCCCGTAGTAGAGTACCCCTCTACTTTAGAGGGCAACTACAACCTGCAACTGCGAAGCCAGCGGAGCTAACCTCAGATCTCCCTTAAAAGTATCGGGAATGTGTGGGGGGAGGAAGAGCAGAACAAGAGTGTCTTTGGCTCTTGCACGACGGCGCCCCGGGTGGAGTGTTCACGGAGCGGGGTCCTTCGGAGGAGGGGGTACTTCTGCATTTGGATCACTGGAGCGCGCATCCTTCTTTCCCCAGCCCATGGCGCGGCTCCTCAGACTTTGCACTTGGCTGCTGGCGCTGGGCCCCGGGCTCCTGGCCACGGTGCAGGCAGAATGTAGCCAGGACTGCGCGGCTTGCAGCTACCGCCTGGTGCGCCCAGGCGATCTCAACTTTCTGGTGAGTGTCACGCACGCACTATGAGAGTCCACGGTTCAGGGACGGCAAGGGCTCTGCACTCTTGGTAACCCCAGCGATCTGGTGTTGCCAGAACTCTGGCTCCACGTTTTTGAAGCCCGCGACTTGGTAAGCGTGGATGTGTCTCCCCAGAACCCAAGTGCGTTTTAACCTTGGGAATTCTAGAACCCTGAAACATGCCCTTTTCAGCACCGCGGATAGCACTGAGTCTCCCAAGATGCCCAAGAAAGGTCCTCTCCCCTCAGCTCCTAACCTCCCGGCTAAGGGCGCCTTGTGCACAACTGACCTTCCCACAAATAATGTAATGTTTTTGTTAATGATGTTTCCTCTCCTTTTTCCAATTCTTTTCTTGAGTTCTCTTAACCTCGGGTTCCTCACCTGTGGATAAGAGTAAGAAAGAGGTGAAGATGGAGAGGGAATCACAGTAGACAAGGAGTTTAATAATTATGACAGAATCAAGTCTGTCATGATGGCAGTTGTAACGCTGACCGTTAACTTGGCCATGACAGGGGGACAAGAGACACGGCCAATGACCAAAGAGGTGTGGACAGTCCAAGAGGAACTGAAGAGGGGCGATGATAAAACGATTCTAATCGTGGGCTCTTGAGTCACCTCTAGTGCTCTAGTGAGTTGGAATCTGGGTGTGATCCAAGATGCTTCATTTTTAACGAGCTCCCGAATGACTGCCTTTGAAATATGCTGGAATTCTGTAACACTTTTAAAACCCCAGTAGCATGTAATGAATTAACCCAAGCTGCTTTATGTTCCACTGGAGCCTTTGCAGGAATTTCATGTTATGTAGATGCTTGAAATGGAGAAGAGAACTAGGGAAGAGGTTCCAGAAGTCCAAGGTGGAGATTTCTTATTAACCGTATTGTTTTATTTGACTTTTAATTACTTGCTCTGTTTCATCTGATATATGCTGATTTAGCTTTACAGAAAACACCCATAATAATGTTTATATTTTAACTATGAAAAAAATGTTCCATCTCACAGGTACAGTCTCCTTCGCCCATTTTTCTTCTTTCCCTGTAGTCTTAAGCTTTTAAGCTATGCCTAAAATTTGACTGGCCGCTAGGAACATTAAGGATAGCTGTTGTGAGTAAAGATTTGTATGCACAAGAAGGAAAGAAAACTGAGACCGACGGTACTGTAGACTTCATTTTCTGACCCCATAATTTTCCTCCCCCGTTGCATGTATTTTGAGCTTTTCCCTCTGTTCAACACACACACCTGGCTCACCTCGCAGACTAGGGTTCCATGCCATCTATATAAAAGCAATGTGAATTCTAAAAGAAGTTTTTAAATCACACGATGTGTTATCAAAGTAGTAACAGATTTACTGAAATTATACTACTCCATAAATCCATTTGGGGGCGTTAAAACATCTCATTTCACCATGCTCCAAACACGCTACTAATCTTTCTTTTCCATTGTTAAAGATGTGGCAGATCTCAGTGTGCAGCAGCTGGCCCTTCCCTGGATGACACTAAGCATTCCAACTTCTCTCCTTTCTCTTACCCTCCATTTGGACTTTAATAGGGCTTGGGAGAGGGGACACGACTTACTCCTTCTTCTAACTTTTCCTCACTGCCTTTTGTAACTTATTATGATTTATGTTAATGCAGATGGTGGGATGGTGTATGTAGTATGTGTAACTTGGGGGAAAAAAGACAACAAAACACTACTGATTTAAAAAATCTCTTAGGAAGGCATGTTGAATAATAACTAACTCCCTTGTTTTATGTTGGAGCTTACATTTAGAGTTGTAATTCTTTCAGTGACAAAAGATTTAGTTAATGCCTATGTTTCTATAATTACTAGAATTGTAAATTGGGTACAACACACATAGGAAAAATGAGATTGCCTGGCCAAAACTGACGTAAGATCAATGTTACAAATATTCCCCAGGCTTCCATCACCAATAAGACATGTATCTTAGTCCTCTGGTGGGTGTGAAGATGAGCAGGCTTGCCTTGATGATATCCAGATAGAATTTACCACTAATTCTGTCTTTCCCATAGGACAAGACTGTGATAAATATACCATGAAAGACACATAGGTGGCTAGAGGGTCTACAGATTAACATCACTGCTTTAGTCTGAATGTGCTGTTCTGATTATTTTGCAACTGTACATTTTTAAAATCTTTTGGCTTAAGTACACAAAATATTTAACATTACTGTTTGGCAATGTGATCATGTAAATAATCATTTTAGAATAAAAATATTATGAATATTTGAATATCTTAATATTTTAATGATATTTTGGTGCCTGAATTAGCTATTACCAGGAATAACACAGGATCATTTTAATTATATTATCTTTAGATATACTTTTATGCTCACAAACTTAATTTCCTTAGATATAAAGTTTAAATAATCATTAGGAGCTGGTTAACTACATTTTCTAAAGATTTTGTTGCATGAGTAAAATGTTTTGCTTCATTATGAAAATAATGTGTCTAACATTAATATACCAGTACCTTTTTAATAACAAAAATGTGGCTTATCTTTCTAACTCAAGAATTTCTAAGCTGAGTCCTACAGTTAAATTTCAGATAGCTATAATACATTAGGAAGTAGATTATAGTTGTTGTACATGATCATGTAAAATTAGTACTCTTAATTATACACAAGTGACCTATTAAGCAGAAAAAAATCTTAAGATCATTAGAATATACAGCCTAAGTTTTTCGATGATTTGAATTGAGTTATTATATAATAAAAAGGAGATAATTACATGCTGATCATTTCTATTTTATTAAACAACATAGTTTTCATTATAAAACAATTTTTTCTATACACCAAGGACTCAATGTTAAAAAAATAAATACAAGTAATATGTGCATTTGCATGTATTAATTTCCTATCTAATCTTATCATTACCAACACTTGGTTCAAGATGATAATCTATTTTAATCAACCAAGAAAATGGGAAAATAAAACATCATTTAGCAAATCAATATATCAAAATCCAAATAATTTATCAGATTTAAGTTTAATTTTTAAAATGTTTTTTTCTTTTAACTCTATTTTGGAATTTTTATTTTCCTCTGAAGATGAAAAGGGTTTGCAAGATATTGAATAGCATTGTAGTAAAATGTTAACACAAGAAAGCAAATAAATCTTATTCATATTGATTTTCTCTGTAAGATAAAAGGCTAACAGGCATTTGGGGACGGTTTCAAATTAGATAAACAAAAATTTCTCCCTTTTGGTTAGAAAAAAATCTCAAACAAAAGTGATATCAGGAGAGGAAAAATGGTGAAATTAGATTGCGAAGGCAGCCAATCTAAGTAAAGTAGGAGAGCAGAGTCTTTTAAAATATTTACATGACAGGGTGCGTACAGTAGGATTAAAATCCAAAGATAGATCTCTAATTTGATTCAGTTAATCCTTAATCCTCCACCATACTTTTTTTTTCAGTTTTCATTTATTTCATTTGCCTTTTCAGTGTCATGAAAAATTAAGATGTGAAAATGCAGATGATTCTATTCTTGGGCGATTGTAGTCTCTATAGCAAAGCATGTCAGGGTTCACAGTTTGTGTACTTAAGGAAATCTGGGAAGCCTCTCAATACCTTTCCCATGAATTGTTTTCCCAGGCTTGCACACTAGAGTGTGAAGGACAGCTGCCTTCTCTCAAAATCTGGGAAACCTGCAAAGATCTCCTGCAGGTGTCCAAGCAGGAGCTTCCTCAAGAGGGTGCCAGCTCACTTAGAGAAAGCGGCAAACAGGATGAGAGCCACCTGCTCAGTAAGAAGTACGGAGGATTCATGAAGAGGTATGGGGGCTTCATGAAGAAGGTGGACGAGCTGTATCCTGTGGAACCAGAAGAAGAGGCCAACGGAGGTGAGATCCTCACCAAAAGGTATGGGGGCTTCATGAAGAAAGATGCCGAAGATGGGGACGCCCTGGCCAATTCTTCAGATCTGCTGAAGGAGCTGCTAGGAACAGGCGACGACCGTGACAGAGAGAACCACCACCAGGAGGGTGGTGACAGTGATGAGGGCGTAAGTAAGAGATATGGGGGCTTCATGAGGGGCCTCAAGAGAAGCCCCCAAGTGGAAGATGAAGCTAAGGAGCTGCAGAAGCGGTATGGGGGCTTCATGAGGAGGGTGGGCCGCCCGGAGTGGTGGATGGACTACCAGAAAAGGTACGGAGGCTTCCTGAAGCGCTTTGCTGAGTTTCTGCCCTCGGATGAAGAAGGTGAAAGTTACTCCAAAGAAGTTCCTGAGATGGAAAAGAGATATGGAGGATTTATGCGATTTTAGCATCCTTTCCTGCCAGTCCCCAGATCCTGTATCCCAAGCTTCCCTTTAGCCCAAAGTGAGCAACTGCCCCAACATCGTATTCTACTGTCGTGTGTGGCTTGCACTATATAGTTGACTTTATAATCTGGATGATTATATGGCCTGAGCTATCATTTCAGGCTCTATGTACTTTTGAGATTCTTAAGTTTAGTCTACCGCATCTATCAACTTTTCATTCTAAAATATTTTTGTTACCTTTTCCCTTATTTTGAAAAATGTCAATAAATGCTTCCTTGTATGTAAATACAATAAACTCATCTCCCCAACTGGACAATGTTCTTGGAAGTCTCTTCTTACCCAAGATTCTCATTCCCACTTGGGATTCCAAGGTTTAGTGCAATGCAACCATTACTTCCGACAAAATAATCATTGACTTCCTTCCCTTCTCACTATGACTGAAAAAATGTTTTTAATTTCTTTTAAGCAAAATCTTAGACAAATATGCACACTGGGACCAAAAAAAAAAAGATGTGATGATAGTGTAGACCTGTTTTGCACAAGAAAAAAATAAAAGCCCATACAAGTGAAGCCGTACACCCACTATTAGTTAGCATTTGAAGAGATAAGAGTAAACCCCCAACTTGTTGTTCACATCCTTCCACTCCATTCCCTTACTTTTTATCCATGTCACTAGCAAGAACTGTGGGAACTTGGAACTATATCTTGTTCACCAGTGTGCTCCTTTACATTATCATGCTACACTCTCTAACATGTGATGAATGGATACACAGATGGAAGAATAAATCACTGGATGGATGAATGGATGAATGAAGTGGAATGGACAAAAGAATGAATTTGGAACCAGATAATCAATAAAGGTACTGTGAGTGTTTTGTAAAGTCCTTCCCAAAACACAAGGGGCTTATGGTTTTCATATTGCTAAAACTTGAGACACTTGAGACAACATTCAGATGTGAGAACTGTAACCTTTAATTTCCTAATTAAAGCTATATGTAGCTCACATCTACCTATTAGGTCAATTTTCCAGGATTCGTGCCCTTCTGTTCTTCAAGACACAAAGTTTAGCATTTCCATAAAGTGAAGGCTGAGTATCTGGTCTGCAGTCTACCAGCATTGCCCACAGGATACTCATGCCCAGGCCTGTCTGCTCCATTCTGATGATGCTCCACACCTAAGCAGTCCATTGTTTTAAATTCAGCCCTACCAGGGCTCCTGGGACATTTACACTGGAAGATCACTGTAAGGGGTCATGGGCTCCCTGCTCTCCCTGGAACAAAATGTTGGTCCTCCCATTTATCTTGCTAATCATTGTTCAGCTAACATTGTGTTCCAGGGAGAATGCTGAGGTCCCTCCTCCTTTGTATTAGAGAAGCTAGTAAAGGGAGTGAGCAGACTGAGAAGTTAGTGGTAAAATTGTGGCCCATTAGAAATATTAGCTATATATTCAATCTTAGCCAATTGTTTCCCTTGGAAACACAAGCTCAGTATTGTCAGACTTTTGCAAAGAAGCATGAAATGTGAATCTTTAAACAATATCTGTATTTTTTTATTTTGGCAAATGATTCAATTTAAAACTGTGATCAAATACAATCATCTTCAGATCAGATCTGAGAGATGTGAAGACCAGTATTTTAAGAAAAAGTGAGTCACTTAGTTCTCTGCCCTGGAACAAAAGACTCCCAAAGTGAAAACAAAAATATATCCCGCACTATCCAAATGGTGAGTATGCGCCTTCTTGACAAGGTAATGCAATTATAATAATACACTATGTATACATACGTATGTTACATATCATGTTTGATAACAAAAATTCACAAAGCACAAATCTTTATCTAGAGCTCCATCATCTATATTCTGGGGAAGTCTCGTAAGCCAGGTTGACCTGTTTAACAATTTATCATTTCTCCCGAGGGCCACATGATGCTTAGTGTGACACAGCACCAAGCCACTTCCTCACCACCACCCCCTCACCTTACCTGGCATAGAAGCAGAAAACTAGAGGATACACAAGCTTTCTAAGGGAAGAGGGAACAGAGGGGTCGATTGGAAATGAGGAAACAGAACAATTGGGTAAAATGTCCTTTTTACACCTAAATTGTGATAAACGTGAGCCCTGGCAGAACATCCCATAGCACGCTATCCCTACCCCCCAGGGTCCTTGACATTAAATATGGATGGCTGAGTACCAAAATCGACTTGAGAGTGTTGTGTACGCCTCCTTCTGTCTTCAAAAATCACCCTGCTTTCTGACCTTCAGTCTGAAATTCCACCATTAGCATTTTGCCTCTTTAATTCCCAAAGTTTGTGATGCTTCACAGAATTTCCTATTTCCATTTTGAGGGATATTTACCTACTTGTATGCAGAGAACTGGGCCCTTTCTGCAGTGCTGTGTTGTTCTGCAACCTGAAGACTAGCTTGGGGCTAGCATAGGAGTAGGATCTAGGTTAGGAGGGTTGGGAAGAAAATTCTTCAGAATGAGGAACAAAGATCCAGAGTGCTGCTGCTCCATTCGACATTTTTCCCTATGGCATGGGCTCAGCATGCCCCTAATCTCTGCACTTCTGGGGCCTTCCCAATCTCAGCTCCAAGCCTGAGCTGGGTGTCCTTGCCTTCTGAGCATCATTACTGTGTAAGCTCTGGGACCAGTCTGTCTGAACGGCAATCTGAGCAAGCTTGTGAGGTGACGTTCTTCCTGCCTTACCTCCTGCCTCTTCCTTGATAGGTTGTGACAAGTTAATGTTTCAAGTTTTCAAAATCTTTAAACCAAGACCAGCACCCAGTCAGCCTTACAAGCTTAGTTGCTACGACTGCTCAGTCTCCCAGTTCTTTAACTTGAATCCCAGGCGCTTGCCCCACTCACTCACCTTCCCCCTAGGCTATCTATGGGTCCAGTCCATAGCAGTAGGACTCCCACCAGATATGGGGTTCATTTCCTGATGATCATGTCCCATAAAGCAGAAACTACCTGCAGGGCCCCTTAATACTCATATACATTTTCTCAGTTTTCTACTACAAACTGTAATCAAACAGTTACCTGCATGCATTTTACATCTATGCAAAGCCATAGAAAAGACAACACCAAGAGTAAACCTGTACGTAAAGTATGGACTTTGAATAACTATGATGTGTCAATGTTTGTCAGTTTTTAAAACCAAATCACTGTGGTGGGGGATGCTGACAATGAGAGAGGATATGCGTTTATCTGGGCAGAAAGGGAAATCTCTGTGCCTTTGGCTCACCTTTGCTGTGAACATAAAACTCCACTAAAAAGTAAAACTTGTTTAAGAGTATTATCCTAAAACAAAAGAATCTGAGCTACCAAGTTATCATCTTACCACAAGATGGGGGCAGTGACTATTTCTATTTTTAGGGCTTTTTTCCTTTATTTTTCCTGAAATGTACACACCAGCCTGTCTTAGTTACTTTTCTCTCATTACAGAGACAAAATACTCAACACACAAAGTTAAAGGTGGGAAAGGCTTATTTAACTCACAGTCTGTGGAAGTTTCAATCCATAATCATAATCGGCTCCAAGGCAAGGTGGTGTGACAAGGTGCTGGTGTCTCAGCAGTAGAAGACAGCAAAAGCAACAAGAGCAAAAAGGAGAGTACAAGGCTTTTCTTGTCCCTTTTATCTTCTCCAGACTGCTGGGATTACAGTGGTGTCCATCCAACGAGTGGACTGATCCAGCACTAACCATTAATCCCAACACTCTTAGTCCCAGCATGGCACAATGAATCAATCACAAACTCTAGATTCAGCCTCCTCCAAACCCCCCTTCAAGACCACATAAGGCTTTGGAGCACATTCAGACACAAACCATAGCAGCCCCACATAAGTGAATTCATTTATCATCAAAAGGATCACACACCATGAACAAATAGGCTTCATCCTGGAGTCATAAGGATGGTTCAACACACACAAATCAATAAACATAATACACTGTGTTATGGCTTGTATCTAGATGTCACCCCAAAACCTCATGCACTCAAAGGTAGGACATTCTGGCAGTGGGGGATCTGTGGTGTGTAAATATGGACTAAGGGTGTGATAACCAAATTAGATCACTGATTGGGTTAGCATATTTCTGGGTGTAGATAATGGGAATCACTGTGGTGTGCATAGCACTAGTCAAGGGCTCATACCCTGAGTGGAATAAAGGGAAAAGGAGTATCACTGTTGGCAGCCTCCTGTCTGCCACACTATGAACTGTTTCTGCCCTGTCGTGCCCTGCTGCCATGCCACCCTGTCTTGGAGCCAGCCAACTATGGACTGAAACCTCTAAAAACTGTGAGCTAAAATAAACCTTTCCTCCTTTAACTGGTAGGTGTTGGGTATTTTATCCCAGCATTAAACAATACATAAGACACACCACATGCCACAAACAAGGGCAACAATCACATTATCATATCAATAGATGCAGAAAAATCTTTTGAACCTCTTCATAATAAAAACCCTGAAGAAACAAGTGTAGAGCAGTAATGGCAAATGTTTTAGCATTTTTAGTAATAACAAACATCCACTGCAGCTTACGTGACATGGGTTCTCCACCACCATTCTTACTTGAATCTGATAAAAGTCACTTTTGACAAACCAATTACCAACATCATATCAAATGGTGGAAAACTGAAATCTTTCCCTCTAAAACCAGAAACAAGACAAAGAAACCCACTATATTATTTTTGTTTGAGATAGTACTTAAAACATGAGCTAAAACAATCAAGAGAAAAATTGATAGGATACATATAGGAAAGGAGCAAGCTATCATTATTTGCAGATGATATGATAGAAGATTCAAGAAATTCCATCAAAAAACTCTTAGAAATAATAATCAATTCCACCAATGTAGCAGGTTACAAAATTGACATATAAAATCAATAACATTTGTATACATCAATAATAAACTCAGTGAGAAACAAAATTAGGAAAGCAATGTCATTTACAATTGTATCCAAAAAATAAATATCTAGAAACTAACCTAACCAAGGAGGTGAAAGACCTCTACAACAAAAATTACAGTACTCTATAAAAGGAGATTGAGGAAGGCATCAGAAAACAGAGAAGGGGAAGTCACTGTGACTGGCAGGAAGAGGGTCCTAGATCAGCCCAAGCTCCTGCTGTTGACAGGGCTCAGAGATCAGACACCAGCAGGAAAGCCAGTGACTCAGTAGGAACCCTGGCTGGAGCACACAGAATGGACAGGCAGGACTAGTTGCATGAAAAAGTCAGGTGCAATGGTAACAAAATGAGCCAGCAGATGATAAGTTAGGAGAATCAGCTTTGTGCTTGGGGGGAAAGACACTGAATTGAAGTG